TAAATGAGGTTCCCTGCTCCAGTTACAGCAACAGCCATAGAGCTTCAAAGAGGTCACAGGTGTGGAAATTGGAGGACTCTTAATGGAGACTGAGATAAAAAGGGATTCTCTAAAGCCTTGGATGTAAGTTTGTGATCTGAAGAGTGGTGAGTAATGCAATTGCTAGGAGGTGTCTTTGGCTTTGCCTGGAGCATGCTAACAAGCAATCAAAATGCTTGCCCACAGCCAAACTGTTCTTTCCTTTTCCACTCTTTAGAATAATAAAAGCATTACACAAACCCCACTGTTAATGCAACATGTGGGTGAAGTTCCAGGCTATTGTGTTTAAAACTCTTAGTCTTAATTCCAGCAGTAATTATAACTTGTTTCTCTCTTCCCTGTTGTATGGTAACACCACAGGAAGTGATGCAAAGTTCTCTGTGCGTGTGTTAACTTAGGCTGAGTGTAGGAACAGAGTCTATCTAATCTCTTGATTTTTTTTCTTTACCTGTCAAAGTCTCAGCTGTAATACTGTGCAATTGGAAAGTTTTTGTGTTTAACTTACGTGTTTTGTCTGTCTTCAGTTCTGTTAGGAGCTGGTTCTACTGCTGGTGGATATTTTGCCGCTTTTCTGTTTATAATGCAGTTGGACGTTTGTTTTCCTCTTTCTCTTGAAGCTGTTTTTGTTCAAATGAGAGATTTCCTTCAACACATGTTTTCTCATTTTCTAGTCTGCAGTTTTTGAGGCCCTCAGCAGTTTAGGCTAGGAGGTCCTGCCCTTGTCTATACTTGATAGAAAAAGCATAGTGAATACCACTAAAAATTCATCATTTGCTGCCAGCTATCTGTGGTAAACTTGATAGCTCCTGTTTGAACGGAAAGGATCCAGCAATTATTGCTGAATATAAAAGAGTTTTTAGCGTTGCCTTTGTATACAGGGTGTGAGAAAGTCCAAGGCTTTTTATTTATGCTGGTATATTACACCATATAATTGCATCCATCTTTTGATATGTGGTATGAATTAGTTCCATTGAAAACATGTTTTCTATTTTTAAATCAGTTGTCTTGAACTGAGTTCTTGAAACATTCTGCTTCTTGGTCTTGTTTTTGTGTAGATTTTCCATATTGTGCTGGGCTTAATATAATTGTTGACATGTTGGTTTTGAGTTTCTTTTTTTTTTTTCTCTATTTTGTATAAATCTCTTGAAGTTTTATGTTACAGTGTTGTGTTTATCCAGATTGAGTATGTAAGTTATCTCATAATATCTGAGCATCTCACAGTTCGGAAACGTGTGATGAAGTGCATTAGCCAGCGTTAGAAAGGGAGAGTGGAGATTTGGAGGCCTTGAGTGCTGTGCTTCTGTTCTTGACTTTCCTGAACAGTCTGTGTTCAGCGATGGCTAGACTGGAAGCCCAGGGCTCCATCCATGGTCAGTAGGGACAGAGAAACATGTCTTTGAAACTCAGTTCATAGGTGGGATGATCTCTGCAGGACCTTGTTTTTCTCCACTGATCAGCAGCTGAGTCTAAATTCTGAACTTGAGTGCATGTAAATTGCAAATCTGAGCTTAAATGGGGTTACTGAGGCCCAAGTGACTCTTCCGAGGAGTGTCATATTCTCCTTGTCTTTCTGTGGCTTTCGTGATGCTCACAAAAAACTTCAGCTGTGCTACCAGCAAGCTGGGGCTGCTGTCCCTATACCTGAGTAGCGCTGCAGTGTTTCCTGGTGTTCCCCAACCCAAAGTCATTTGCTGTTCTCTTTTATTATGCTTAACGTCTGGTCTGTACAGCAGCTTCTGTGGTAGAGCCCTGGTCTGCGACGAGGGCTCCTCTGTGTCATAAAAGTAGTAAACAAAATGGCACCTATCAAGTTTGGCAGAGCAGGAAAATGCCAGAAATTCCAAGCATTTGTTTCATGCCTCATCTGTTAGATGGTCCTCCTTGAGTTAAGACCCTTGCCTTGTCCTTCCCGTGGTTGTAATGGGTGTTGAGAGTGCATTTGTGCATGCATTTTTCTTCCTTTGCAGTGGTTCTGCTTGGGGTGTGTGCTTGCTGGGTTTTTTTTAATCAGTTCATGTTGATTCTTATCGTGTGTTTGTATAATAGTTTGGGGTTGATGTAATCATTGTTATATGTATTTCATTAAGAGATGTATGTGTGTGTACTTAGGTGTTTGCATAATTCATGAAGTCAAGTATGTTCACATACCCCTTGTTAGCACATGAGTGCATGTAGTAAGTATGTACTTCTCTTCTTTGTATCAGTGGCTCATTGGGAAAGGTGCACTTTTTGGCATGTATATATGTAAAAAACCCACAAGCTGTACCATTTATTTTCTTTCTTCTACACCCACCCTAAAAACGTAAAGAAAAACACACACTTCTGCTAGGGTTCTAGGATAGTTTATTTTTTCATTCAGCCATTAGTTTATTCGTTCAGGAGTTGTACACTGGAAAAAAAAGTGCATCCATTAGACAGTGAGGGCTTTATTTATGAGGGGGGTGGTGTTTCAAAGGGGAGGCTGTCAAGTCCCAAAAGAGCCTTTCATGGTGTATTCTCAGCGTGCTTCTGAGGCCACTGCTCTGCTCATCAGGAGGAGAGGCAGAAATGTGGGCTTTACAGAGCAACTGTGTGTTTCACTGGTCCCTGCGCTCACTGACGTTTATTTACATATTGGGAAAGTAAATGGGTAGAACAGATGGCAACCAGACATTTGGTGGTTCTGTTCCCGTATGCTCCTCAGGGGTCTTGCATTCAGTTTTTGCAAAAAGCTTGTCCTATAGTGGGGAGAAAAAGCCCAGGAGCCTGTTCACAACTATGAAATGCTTGTTGGGTTTTTGCTATAGTGATAGATTAAAGCATTTAGTAAAATGTGAAATAATTACAAGGTTTGTTTTACAAGTCCAGATACTTGTTCCTTAGGATAAGTCCATTGGTGTGTCTGTTATTATTTCTTATATTCACCACTGGAGTGAATGTATTTAGATTTGAAGCTGGTGATCCCTTCCTTCTACAAAGTGAGTTTGAAAAGTACAGGTCTATTTATAAAGGTCTTGGATACCTTTTGGCCTTTTCTGCAAATATTGTAACTCATTTGTGCTCTTGTAAAAATGGAATATCTGAAAATTTTGCAGGATTTTCCAAGATACTTAATATGTTTCTTCACTGTTTACAGTTACGAAGCAGGAGATTTACTTCCATACCAAGTTGATTTTTTTTTTTTTTTTCTGACTTTCTTTGTACACACTGGAATGTTGGAACAGGGTTGCTCCAGAGTGCTAGGCAGCTTGCTTGAGTGGTTTGGGTTGTTTTGGTTTTTTTTACAGTGTGTGCATGTTGTTTGTTTTATAGAAGTGATAATTAAAGCACTTCTCCTAGGCAAAACCGTAATATAACATACACATTTTGAAAATATGTTAAAAGGGGAGATGCAAGTCAGGTTTTGAATGTGTAAAATTCTCAACCTGCACATTGTTCCTTCCTGTAAAGCAGCCAGGTGTTTCTCAGTAAAGTGGGGAGAAATCAAATGAAAATTGAAGAGCTTGACCTTTTGCACAGCATGCCAAATCAGCAGCTCTAACAGTTTGTGACATGATGAATTCCAATGACTTATTGATAAACACACGAAACTGCCTAGCATTTGTAGGAGAACTTGTCAAATAATGTAAATACCAGACCTCAGTTAGTCTCACCTAGAATGTAGAATCTCCTAGTATTAGATAATCTCCTAGTATTAGTCTGTAAAGCAAACCTTTCTATAATGAACCTTTCTGTAATAAAAGGTCAATGCTGAACTAGTTTGCTTTGAACCAAGATAGTTTTCAAAAGTAAACATAGAATTACTGATCCTCCATGAGTTAATTGACTCAGATTTTACCAAGTGTTTTCTAGTGCCCTTCTTATTAAATAATGTATTTTAAAAAGACAAAACTAGGAAGCCATGTCATGCTCTGCAGGGAAGCTTACCGTAGTAAATGGTAGCACAGAAAGCAAAAATGGTGAATGTCAGGAATGAAACACTATCTTCTTCTTGAGACACGGTTAGAAGGTTGATCATTAACAAAAAATAAAGTGGAAACTTGCTACTCTTCTGTAGGCCATGCTGCACAAATATTATGTTAGGATTAGTTTAAATGAAGATAATTGCCAAACTATTAGATTTTTGGCAGTATATTCCACAACCCACGTGAAATACAGAAAATTGTTTCTAAGTAAGAGGTTTTAGCCAGAGTATATTGATAGTGTGCATAGTTAATGAAGCTGCTACGTCTCACTCAATATGTGACAATGTTTCTGTGATATATGCAGCAGTTCTCTTAAATACTTTGTAAGGCACTTTGGAATCCTTTGAGATCAAAATTAAATACAAACGTATTATTAAATAGAACCTAACTTCCTCTTTTTTTTTTTTTTTATATGGGCTATTGCTGGTTTTAGGAAATGTATTTCTAAACTGAGCCCACCATCACAGTGCAATTACCAAGTAAATCACATCCTAGATAGTCTTTGCTTTTTTTTCCCCCCGATAAAATAACATAGTTTAAATATCTTTTCCAGTGGTTTGTAGCCAGATGCAAAGTCAGCTAAAAAAGATTTCTCCAGAAAGATTTCTTTTCTACATCATTGTGTAACTAAAAGTAACTGTTGTAAATACTGCAGAATTTCATGGCAGTCTTGAAAGTCGTGACTTCTGTATCCCCGGTTCCTTCCTTTAGGAGCAGATGATGGCAGTTTAGGTGGTCACATATTCTTTATGGTCCAGAGCTGGATAAGCATTAACCAAATAAGTAATTCAGTAACAGCAGGACTCAAGAAAAGTGAACTGGTAAAAACCAGTAACTATTCTTGGCAGAGTATGGCAGACCCTGTGTTTTTTTAATTTAAAAAAAAAAAAAAAAAAAAGGAAGAAAAGAAAAAGGTTACGGGTGTATTTGTTATTGAGTCCTCAAATGCTAATCCATATGTGGTCATTTGTATCTCTGAAGGGTTTGGGTTGTTTTTTTTTTTTTCTTCTTTGACAGACTGATGTCTTGGTGTTGAGCTGCGATCTGATCACAGATGTTGATTTATATAAAGTTGTGGATCTCTTTCGGACACATGATGCTACTCTCTCCATGTTGATGAAGAAAACTCATGAACCCACAGAAGTGGTACCAGGACAGAAAGGGAAAAAAAAGCCAGGTATGTAGATAGGAATACATATATTTATTTATTAATAAATGATAGAGAAACCACTGGTATGTATGATATGTTTAGTTATCAGTCCCAGAGCGACAGAAATAAAAAAGGTACAGATACCCTATTTTTCCTCAGATTCCCTGGTGGGGGTGTGACTTGTTTTTTTCCAGCTCAGAATTAAGTATTAGACTCATGTAATCTTGCAGGCTCTGATCCAAAGCTCACAAGAGTTAAGGGAAAAGCTCCAGGTGACTTCAGTGAGTTTTGGATCAAACCCTAAATTTTTGTTACATATGAACATTAAAACCATTAAGTTTTTCAAGAGCATTAAGCTTCAGCCAGATTATAGCTGGAATTTTTACCATTGACTGTAGGGACCAGCATTAGATGGGTAACAAATACTTCTAGAAATTCTCCCCTCTCATGGTATGTACTGAATTACTCTTCTGAGATCACGTCCAGGAGCCTTTTGCTAGGCAAAACTCCCACTGATTTCAAGGACTTAGATGCTTATCTTGTCCCTCTTACCATAATATCTTAGTTAGTGCCTTGTAATCTTTAATGTATCTATTCTCACAACACTGCTGTAAGGCAGGGCAGGGCTATTATCCCCATTTTACTTATATGCTAAAAGTACTAAATACAATACAGTTGTTCCCATACCATACCTCTCATATTCTTTTAATGATATCTGTTAAATTGCTGAGGCTTGATTATTGCCAGCATAGTGGGTCCTGGTCCCTGAGTAAAGCTCGGAGGAACTACAGTAATACAAATAAGAAAGTGTAGCTTCAAACTATTTGAGAGGAGTGAAATGCAAGCCAACAGTTGGACTATGTGTGTGTCTGAAAGCGGAGGAAATGTGTTTTTAAACGAAAGCTGCTTAGACTCTGCATGAAAAGATTTTCTGGAGCGAAGTGTAAGGGTAGTAGGGCTGAAAGCATTTAGGACTTGGACTCTCAAACAGCTCTAAACCCTGCTGGTTTTGAAAAGGCAATCTAAGTGATAATGGCACATAAAACATTGGCTGTAGTAGTGCTCTTGACACAGAGTTGAGCATTCAGGAGTTATAAACTAATGGGTCTATGGTTAAACATCATAGAGCTGCTCAGTACATGAGCTCTCAGTACACAGGGTGGGGGTGAGGAGGTCTATAAGGATAAACAAGATCATCTGAACACTCTTTGCAAATGTAAGCACATCAGGTTGCACATGCATTCTTAATTTACTTGTTTTTTAATGTCTGTGTGCTTGACTTTGTAGCATTACTCTTCCTACATGACTTGTTAAAATTTGTGTATGATTTCCCAGGTCTGTAGAAGACTAAACTTGAAAACATTAAAATTCCATCATGTGGAAGTGTTTTGACACCCACAATGTTTTTCTGTGGGGCTGGATGCTAAGGTCTCCCACTCAAAGCTACTCTACTTGATCTGTCATGGCTAGCTCTAATAAGTTGTCATCTATGAACTGCCTTGGATGAGACTTTTTAAAGTCATTTGCTAAAAGCAGGGGAGTGCTGAGACTGAGGAATTTTGGGTTCTTCTCCAGGTTCTGGAGAGGGACAGTACATTTTAGGGAGCACTGGACCCTCCTACCTTTCATTCCTACTTGACTGAATGCACCCTATTGCTGCCAGCATCATCCTAGCTCATCCCTATCTCTTCCCCTGCTGGCTTCTTGCCACCTCCGGCCTCCATTCTTGTTCTCTTTGCTTAGCCTCCTCCTTTGAGGATCCTGGTCAAGAGTCCAGCTTCTCTTTCTCATATATTACTCTTTACATTACACTCCCGTCCCCTGTTCCACTTCTGACTTCTCATCTCGACCTGCTTCACTTACCTGCCCATAGTCACCTTTTTTCTTCTCTTCTGATTCCTATCTCTGTGGTCCAGTGTCCTTTCACAGACAGTCCCAATTTCCGCCAGTTTTCAGGGATTGCTTTGTCTCCCTTCCAGCCTGTCTTGCAGAGTCCTTGTTTTTATGCTTTTCTTTCCCCTCACCTTTGTGAGCTCATCAATTTTATTTCTTTGTAAAAAAACAAGTTGCAAAAACACAACAGATCAAGCTCTTTCACCTGGAGCAGTCATAAGAGCATGGCTGTGGAGCCTCATGGCTTGTGTGCTTTGCTTGTACCACCTGATGGTACAGAAGATGTTAGATGGCACCTGCTATTTGATCAATTCTAGGAGCTGAGGAATTGAAACAACGTTTCCTTAAGAATAGAATATGCAGAAATTTTTGCAGCAAAAATAGATGTCTTGAAAGAGCATGTGAAACTGCAGTTTTTCAAAGATTTATAATGGAGTCAGATGGCAAAAAGTACACTGCTGATACACAGGTCAGCAGTACTTACTGAATGTCATGCTGCTTCTCCGAAGAACTGGAATACCAGAGCTTTTCAACGGAAGGCCCACCTAACCATTTAAGCTTAGGCTAAACACTTTTTTTTTTCTTTAGCCTTAGAAGCAGCTGAACTGTTATTGCTGAAGTTTTCCAAATGTTATTCTTAAGGCAGGTGCTTGGCATTGGAAATTGCATCCCAAACAGTTAAAATTTGATGAAACTTATAAGCAACTGAAGACAAGGTATTAACATGGAATGAGTCAGGCAGTTTTTCATAGTATGTGGCACTATTAGCTCCTTCTCTAAATTGTGACGTGTATATGTACTTGCACTGAAGTGTTAGTATTAGAAATGGATCCTTAGTTCTGACGAGCCACTAGATATATTTGCAGCTTTATTTATTGTTTCACTGTTCATACAAATTCATTCATTTTTTGAGAAGGAGCAATGAGGCTTTTATTTTGCATATGACATGGAATCCAATATGAAGTCATTGCTTTCGGGATATTATTGAACACTGAAGAACTGTGATATAAAGAATAGTTTTTAAATTAGCATAAATTCTGGTCTTAAGCAGTTATAAATTCATACTGATGATTTCCTTAAATGTTTGATGTAACTCAGCTGCAAGTTACAGGGTGTTCATTGGCTTTTATATTTAGGGGATCATACATTCACAATAATCATCTCATTGGCTTTTTTAATTGATCAATGAGAGGCATGGCAATTTAAAAAAAAAAAAAAAAAAACCAGGGTGCTAGTGAATGGTAGTAACCCAAATAAACAGAGAGTGTTAGGAATTCAGACACCCAGAATGTTGCCATGTGCTTAAAGATGACCTGCAAGGGATTGAGTGGAAAAGAGTGTCTGAACCTTTTTGTGTACAAAGAAAGGCAGAAAAGATGGGGATGGTGACTCTTTCCTGCTTGTTTTTCTTGTCTTGAAAGCAGCAGGCATGTCATCACTGGTATTCCCTGTGTTTGCCAGAAGACCTCTTGGTGGTCTTGCAGGCTGCATCGTGTGAATTCTCTCCCTTTAATTGAAAGGGTGTGGATACCAAATCTTTAACAAAGGTGTCTTTTTCCCAAGTGTCAATTAATTATGTTTGATTAAAAAGCATTTTAGAAAATCTGACTGAAAACTATTTCTTCTCATCACTGAATTGCTCAACTTCCACACTCTTGTGATGTCATGATTTCTTTAGGTTATTAAAAGCCTTCAAAATCGATGGGGATCTAATTTCTAAGGTAATTAATAAATTGCAATAGCTGTGTCAAATCCTTATTTATCTATCGTGAGGAGGCAAAACACATCCTACATTCCGTTTTTATACTTTAAATGATTTTTTTAGTTACCATCACTGCAGCTTTAACATTTTTCTTATACTTTCCTTGCAGGGATTTTATAAACTAGTTATGTATTCATTCTTCCAAGTAAGAATAAGCTGCCACCACTGTATTCAGATGTTGTGGAAAACTGCTCAAAAATAAATGCTTTACATTTCAGTAGACCAAAGTCACTGTTGATGCACAGTCACTGATTGCAGGAGAGGGGAATTGCCACAGTAATATATGTGACTATTAGGTATTCTCTTGGTTGGCAGTTTTACAAATAGATATTTAAACCAAGTTAACACACCCAGAAACATCAATGGCAGGAGTCTTAGTATCTATACTTTTATGTGTGTTTGTGTATGTGATTTAGGTTTTCTATTGCTATCAGTATTTATCTGAAATAAGAGACCAGTTGCAAAGTAGTTGTCTTAACTGAAATCAAAATCCTCTCCAGACCACCAAATTCTAATGTGGAGTGATTTATGAAGAGGAAAAAGCAGTTGGATTTTGAAGAACTCTGTTTGCCTTGGGTTTGTTGTATGAACTCAGGTAGCAGGGTTTCCCCCGGCCCCACCCCACTGTCCCGTCCCGTCCCGTCCCCCCCCCAAAAAAAAAAAAAAAGGAGGAAAGCACAGCTCAAGATGAAGTGTTGCATGTCAGGACCTGTAGTTGGCATCTTCATAAAAAGGATGCAAAAAGCTTGCAGGGCCTGTGTTTTGAATGTCATGATATGTATCAGCTACCCTGACTGAAAAGATGTTAATAAATATTGTGGATAACTTTTGCAAATTCATTGATTTGCTGGGTTAGTCTGAAGCCTAGTATTTCATATTTTGGGGGTAGTTGGTGGTCTCATTTGTCTTTCTAGCCTGCATTAAGACAGGGTTATATAATGACTGTGTTTGTTTTTCTACTTCAGTGGAGCAGCGCGACTTCATTGGAGTGGATGACACAGGAAAAAGATTGCTCTTCATGGCTAATGAAGCTGACTTGGATGAAGAACTTGTCATTAAAAGATCCATCCTTCAGAAGTAAGCTTATGAGTCCTTGTAGTAGAAACTGAACTTGGGATGGTGGAAAGTAACTGTAGACTAGGAGTGATGGTTAAAGACAAAGTAGGATGAGAAGGGAAGAGGAAAAGCAGCTTTTGCAATATTCAGGGAGCAGTATTTTATTATTCATTACATCATTACAACAGGTTGATAGGCTTGTCTGATACCTTTATTGTGAAAAATTCCAGGGGAAAAAAAAGGAATGGTGAAAAGGTAACTCTCCCTGAAATGAAGCCAGTATTGCTATAGTTCAGATACAGATTAGATTCAGAAGTGGTAGACCTATGTCCGTAAATGAAATGCTAGTCTCATTGGCTGAGTCCCAGACGGATTTACAGTGTATCTGAGAAAGGCTCTCAGGATTTCATGACACTCTTGTGCATATAAGGCACAAAACCTCATCTGTGTTTCCAGGCCCCAAAAGATTCATTAGAGAATCCATGTTATATCCACCATTAAACTGCACTGGGGACTTGGATGAATTTATTAAATATGCCAGACTAGCTGAGCTTCCTGCACAACGTAATTCATATCCATTAGTAGAAGAATGAAAGATGGCTTGTTGCTCTTTATGCTCTTCTGTACAGTGATTTTAGTTTTCTTGGACGCACATTGTCTGACATTTTCTGCAGAAAGCTCTGCTGGCTCCTTCAGACCCAGCCTTTGCGGTCTGTCCCAAGCTGACAGTCAGACTTTCACCTCTGTGAGGTTAGACACCTGTGGGGCAGCCACCTGAGAACTGGGAAATTCAGCTGTGTGGACCTTGTAAGTCAAGGATGCAGACATCTGAGGTCTGCTCCCAGATAATCTCTTCTGTGAAAATGCCTCCGGTGTGTGCTGTAGGCCACAGCTAGGTGTAATCTTTCCTTGAACATCCCGCTACCAGATGCAAGGGAGGTGCTCTGTGCCCATGGAAAGATGACTCCTCTTCTGCCTGGATTTAAGGATTACCCTAGAAGGAAGGTGGTCAAGAGTGAGCCATGTGTTAACTGCTGTGCTGGAAAGAGCCTGTCCCAGCATGTTCCTACTGGCTCTCTCATGGGTTTTTCTTGGACATGGCAGGGACCAAGCTGCAGGCAAGCAGCTTTTATACATACACAGCAGCTGATCTGCGTAGTGTGGGAAATTTAGTGCTGTTGCATTCTGTGTTTTTGAGCAAAGACTAAGAGATCTGTTTTGGGCTAGGGAGAAACATTTTATCTACTGTTAGTGATGGGTTTGTCTTTATGGCTTTCTCCTAGCACTAGCGGGTGGCTGTGATGTAACGACTTAGAAATTGCTGTAACATGTGTGATCTCAGTTGACCTCTGATTTTACAGGCTCATCTAACCAGAGGATTTTCATTCCTGTTACCCTATACCTAAATTAATCAGGCTTTATCCTGCAGGCAAAACTTTGCCTTCAGGAACACCTGTTCAGATACATTGTCTTCAGCAGATCTTCTTGAGCATAATTGTTTGGGGTTTGGTAAATGTAGTGTTGGTGATATACAGATGGGATAAAAATCTGTATTTCTCCCTGTCTTTCTTATATTTCCATATGCACAGCTATCAAAGCTACTGTAAAGTGTTAACCACCCTCCAAGTAAAGCCCACAGATGATAGGATAGTCTAGAAGCACAAAGAGAGAAGATCTGCTAAGTGTTAAAAAAAAAGACAAAAAAAATTAAGAAAAAGATGCTCTCAAGCAGCAGGCAGATGCATTGGGCCAGTATCCACCTGTGTGAGCCTCTGACATCTGAAACCGCCTGCTGTGGATGCTCATGTGCTCTCTCTGTTTTACAGCTGCCATCTTGGAGCAGCTCTGAGGGAAGCAAAATAGTATATGGAAATTGTCAAATATTTTCAGATGAGGCAATTCCAGGGTAGCAACAACTGTGGGAGCTCTAGGAAGACAAAGTGTTGGCAGCTAATGATGTTTTAACCACTGTGTTGCCTAGACCTGCTCAAACCCTGGCTTTCTCATGTGAGAAACAAAAGCGACGCTTGAAACGATCTTTGAAGTCTTTTTTTTTTTTTTTTTTTGATACATCATAGTAAAGCAAGGAGAGGCCAAAAAAAAAAAAAAAAAGAGCAAGCCCAATCTCGTTTTTTCTTCATGGATCACTTGAAGTGACTGACTTTCAGCTACCATGTTGGCCGTTTCTTGATCTCTGGACTTTGTTTTGATGAAATAACAGACTTTGTGGCAAGATGGGAGAATTTCCAGTACACTCATTCGTTCCTCTGTAAAATACAATAGACATCTTGAGGGCGTTGCTTTTGTTTGTTTTGCTTTTAATGGTCCCTTTGAAGGGCTATGGTGGTCTTGTTACATGAACTCTAGAACTCCTTCAGTGCTTGTTTTGCTCTTCAGATCCTTTTCTTTTTCTATTTTCTATTTTTCTCTCCCTTTTTAAGGAGGGGAGTGGAAGGAGGGACAGGGAGGGAGTGGTGAAAGGAATGGAAAGAGGGAAGATGAACTTTTCTTTAAAGCTAGGAGTCTTGTTACTGGTAAAAATCTAGATCCCATACAGAAATGGTTCAAAGGACCTTTGGCTTCCCCTCCTCACAGGAGGGAAGTTGTGTTGACAAAACATCCAAAGCTGTAGAACGCTAATTTAAATCCTTGAAGAAAAACCTTTTTCCTGACCTTTGCCTTCTTCCTATCACTGGATTTCACGCTCTTCACTTCCCTGCCATAAAAGAGCAGCTGGTGGGGAGAGACAGGGGAAAACACACATTCTCCTGAGTACCTGTTGAGTATTAAATATTTATTTGCTCTTGACTCAGGCATTTTGTAATAATGAAAGTGTTACAGAATGAAACATTTTAATAGGATTTCTAAGTTTATGTGTAACCTGTTATTCTTTCTCAGTTTGGTTAGGATTTCTTTTCCAGATTTGTTGGTTTGATTTGTTTTGGGGTTTTGTGAGTTGTGGATAGCCATTTTGGTTTTGAGAATGCCTCTCCTTGTTACACCGCAGAAAGGAGTCTGGATTTTGCTCCTTTGCTTGCCAGAGCAAATCTGGCAAAGCTTTCCATTCAGCTGTTAAAATTGTCCTTTTTTTTTCTCCTGTGCTGTTAATCACCCTTAGGACAAGTCCCACAGGTAGCATCCTTCCTCCAGTAAACAAGTGCAAAACAGTATCAAATACGTCCATCCAGGCACGTTTTGGTGTGCATCAGGATGGGCTGGGAGACAAATTTATTGGTGGTGCCTAGAGAGGCTAATGCTGCTGGGGAAAGCATTTTCAAGGAAATGGTTCCCTGTTTGGGTAATGAGAGCTTATAAAAAGCCATGAACAGCCTGTGTGTGTCATTCACTGTGGCAAATAGCTGCAAGATGAGATACTAGAATGAAAGAAATACAGTTTGGGGAAGTTTTGGAGCCAGCTTAGGGCCCTTTGAAGAGAAAAAAAATAAAGTTATGTGCTCATCCCTGGAGCCTGGTTTTGCTGGTGACATCTCTCTGACTTGGGTCTTGGCAGGATGAAGGAGCGAGGAAATGATGAGAATTCCATAGCTGCCGCCTTTGCTTTAGGAGGGGGCAAAGGTATTTGTTTTCAAAGCATGATTACAATGGACAGGGAGCTTTTTGCTCCACCTCTAATATTTATGGTCATGCAAAGTGAGACAGTAAAAGACACCTGTTGGAGCAGGTCTAAATTTGGAGCATTTCCTTTTAAGATCTTGTGGGCTGCGTAAGGGTGAGTTCAGCCTTCGTGGGTGTTCTGTCTGCACAGACGCAGGTGCAGGGCTTCTCCTAGAGAATATGTTCATAAATCACCATGACAATTCCAGCTACTTATTACCTCATGTGCTTCAGACAGAAAGGAATACCTCATCTATAAATATATACAGTACTAACATTAGTAACCTTGAAGTAACAATACAGATCTGTTTTTAAGATATTTTAATAAAAAGAGGGGGGTAAGATGGGGGAGTTTCTTCTTCCTTTTCCCTTTGCATCGTGAGAGTAAAAATGAATGGTGTAGTATAATTTTAAAAGTCAGCATTGCCAAGTGGGTAGGTAATGGGAGTTCAGGAATAGCTTTGATACACTTGATTTCCTTTCTGTTGCCTTGGGATATTGCTCTTTTTTTCTGCTGATAATTTGTTTTAAATAAGTGGATCATATATAAACACACTGCAACTTCCTTAGTGTTTCAGTTCTCTGAAACTGCCCTCCTTGGGAAATTGGCATCTCTGAAATACTCTGCCACTCCTATGGTGGTTCTTTTGGGTTTTTTTTTTTTCTTTTAAAATGTGCTTTTATGAGAAAGGCTGGGAATGACACACGTATAGGCAGATGCTCCACTGTGTAAAGCATCCTAAACTAGATCATGGGCAGATGTCCTCTTCCAGATCCAGCTGTGCTGGTGAAGGGGGCCACCACCTCCAGCTTGCCCCCAGCTGGATGTATGATCGAGTACTTCATGTGCCACAAGTGTCAAAATGAGTTGCATTACTTAACAGATTAAACAGTAGGGCTTTGGTAATGTGGTTCTTTTTACTTTGTGCATTAGGGAGTGGTCCCCACAAGCAGTGCCACTGGCAGGGGAGGGAGGGGTGCAATAACCCAACTCGGTAGGAAAATCCTGAGGAGCAACTCAGGGCAGACCAGGGAGCAAAAACTCTTTGCTGGGCTCAGCAGTCTACAGGATGAATATACATGTATTAGCTTTGGTGGTGGTCCCGTGCTGGAGAAATCAGTAGTTTTCACTATTAGCAAACTTTTGTTACCAAGTTTCCTTTGCATTCAAGTGATATTTTCAGGAAAGAAAGATGTTGGTTATATCTTTTTTTTTTTCTCTAAAATGTGACTTTTAGAGAGTGATGCGTAGATCTTCATGTCTTTCCCATTAGTCTAGATCTGCTCTTGCAGTTATTCCAGATCTGCTCTTTTCATAAATAAAAATAAAATTTTCTGACTAGCATCCAGAAAATAAGTCAAGTTCTTTTTGGCTCCTCCATCATGAAAATAGAAATTCTATGTGT